GACACTGTCCTGTGAAATGTGAGGTCATTCACCTGTACTGCAAACCCGCCCCAACCCAAGACAGAACCCATCAGTCCCAGTTAAGATGAAAAAGCGGGACCCCTTAGGGTGGTCGCCGAGGCTCCGCAAAGGTAAGCCCTATCAGCAGGGTGGCCTTGGAAGACTGGGGCGCTGTTTGGAAAGTGACTCATCAGAAATTCGGTTTGACAGCAGATGCTCATGGCACCCCGTGTTGGAACTTCTGCTGGTGCTTGCTCTTGCTTTTAACTTGTCTCCTTTCTCTTACAGCTGGAAGAGGCCGAAAGGTTTGCCAAAACGGTCGTCGACGTGGGAGAGAAAACGTCCGAGTTCAAGGCCAAAGGCTACTTAGCTCTGGGGCTCACGTACAGTCTGCAGGCCACTGATGGTGAGAAGCATCCCCCCACAGGCAGCTAGCTAGCTGCTGACCAGCTCTCCCCATCCAGTCACTCCAGCCCCTGTGCTGTTGTCTTCTCTGCCTGGGCAGGTGGGGAATGAGAGGCGGAGGGGGGCAGATGCAAGAGTCCGGAGGCTCCCATGGCACACAGGACGAGATGAGTGGGGGCTGGGGAGAAACAGGGCAGGACCATCTGCTTCCAGAAGTTCCCCGAGCCGGTCTGGGCCGGGCCCTTCTCTGTGCCCACATTCTGATTCTCAGATGTGTGCACATCCAGTCCAGGAAGTGCTGGGTGGCCAGTCTTGCGCCTGCTTCCCACACTTCATGAAATGCCCATTGATGGGCCTGCAGGAAGTGCACGTCCATAAGTCATTTGCCCGAACTCTGCGCGTGATTCTTTTTGACACGCGGTTGTGACGCAGAGCACACGCTGTGGCTCCAGGTGGGCATATCAGGTAGGAAAGGGCTTGGCCATCCGTTACCTGGTTACACTGGCCTGCTGGTGGCCTCAGGCTGGGCCCTGGCCCAGAGCCGTCGTTCTCAGGGTCAGGAGGAGCTGCAAAGACCGCATTCACCCAGCATCACTGGGGCTCCTAGCCTCCTTTTATCGCGTCCAGATGGGGCCAGGCTCCCCCGTGAGGGCCAGGAGGGCCCTTGGGAGGACAGACACCCATCTTTCTCAAGTGTTCACCTGTCTTTTTAAAAAATGGCACTCATGTGCCGGGACAGGAGAACAACAGGGTTCCCCAATCCTGTAAAGGCTTACAGGCTCGGAAACCGACAGGGGCAGTTCTACCCTGTCCTCTGGGAACGGACTGGAAGGCAGGGAGTCTGGTTTGGGGTATGCCTGGGCATGCACCGAGTGACCACCCCACTCCCTCTCTTCCCTTGCCACTGCCCCCTCCCGGTCATCCCGTGGGTCTGAGGGCCCCAGGGGAGGCTGGGCTGCGTCTCCCGCCCTCTGCAGGGCCAGGCCCGAGCTGGGTTAGAGCCGGTTGCAGGCTCCTTTTTGGTGTGTGATGGGTTTTGCATTTGTCGCAAGCTTGCTGATCTCCCATGCCACTGACTAATTGGACTCTTCTCTCAGCTTCTCTACGAGGGACGCAGGAGGCCCTGCAGAGAAAGGCGCTTCTTGCATTTCAGAGGTGAGTGGGTGTTTGTCTCTTCATTCGGCTGTACATAATGACACCAAAGTATGATAAGTATAAAAAGAAGAGATATTTATAAAGATTATGTAAACAGCGTTTCACCCTCCGGGAGTCTCTCGCCTCCAGCGCCGAAGAGAAAGTACTCCACGTC